ATGGGGTGTTGTGACTTCACTGTTACTCTGTTCAGTGCGCGGTAATCGATGTACATATGAAACCCTCCATCTTTTTTCGGTGTGAATAGTATTGCTGTGGCAAATGGCGACGAACTCGGTCGGATGATTTTTTTTTCTCGAGGAGGTTTCTAGCTCCTTTCTAGTTCATCCAGCACGGGTTGTGTTAGTCGGAACTGTCGCTGTACGGCTGGTTGTGCCCCCGGTTCTGATTCTATGCGGTGGTCGTGTGGTGGCGGAGGTGGCAATGCCTCCGGTAAGTCGTTGAGAAATATCCCAGGGTATCGTTTCTGTAACTTCTGCAGTTCGTTTCTGTAACTGTTTGCAGTGTCTGAAAATCACTTTGCTTCTCTGCTTCTCACACTTGTGTGATATCCACTGCATATGCGTTAGCTCCTGAGGCGACAGCCCATTTCATCGTGATGGCATTGATGTGGGTTGTTGAAGGCTTAGGTGTCTCTTGAGGCGCCTCAAAACATACGATGTATTACCAGGACCTGCCCTAAGGTGTGTTTTGAGGCGCCTCAAAACATACGATGTACTACCAGGACCTTCCCTAAGGTGTGTTTTGAGGCGCCTCAATACATATGATGTACTACCAGGACCTTCCCTAAGGTGTGTTTTGAGGCGCCTCAAAACATACGATGTACTACCAGGACCTGCCCTAAGGTGTGTTTTGAGGCGCCTCAAAACATACGATGTACTACCAGGACCTCCCCTAAGGTGTGTTTTGAGGCGCCTTTCAACATACGATGTACTACCAGGACCTGCCCTAAGGTGTGTTTTGAAGCGCCTCAAAACATACGATGTACTACCAGGACCTGCCCTACTTGCGAGGTCTAACCGTGGGCATCTTGGGTAACGTAGCAGAATTGGCAGCCTTAACATCCTTTCCAACAAGCAACGAGGGAAAGGCCAGTAATAGCAGGCCTTAGCAATGCTCTCACGCCTCCCAATGTGTCCGCCTAGAAGGTCATAGCTTCTTCATAGCCTATGCATCACCCTCATATCCCATGCATCACCCTCATACCCCATGCATCACCCTCATAGACGCGTCACCCTAATAACTCCATGGTTTTCCTCCCGTTATCACTCTAGACCTCTTATTATAGCCCTTTCATTCTCATCCTCTCATCCCCTCATCCCCTCCCTCCCATCCTCACCCTTTCATCCTCACCGTCCCATTCTCACCCTTTCATCCTCACCGTCCCATTCTCACCCTCCTATCCTCACCCTTCCCATCCGCACCCTCCCATCCTCACCTGTCCAGCTTTCAGGCAGGAGTGGTCTCAACCTTTGCGGCCGGCAATTTGGGTTGGCCCAACCCCATGAGCTTGTGGAGCACTCTCTCAAGAGCCTCTTCCTTTTTTCCCTCACACCCTACCCATTCCCACCTTTCACATTCTCGCCCTTCCCAATTTCAACCTGCCTATCCCCAACCTCTGGTCTTCATTTGTCCAACCTGCACGCCGGAGTGGTCACGGCCTTTGCAGCCGGCGACGAGGGGCGCCCCAACCCCATGATCTTGTTGGGTACTCTCTCAAGTGGAAAGCTCCAACCTTCTCATCCTTCCCATTCCCGCCCTTCCCATTTTCACCTTGCCTATTATCACCCTCTTGTTTTCATCTGTCCAACTTGCAGGCCGGAGTGGTCACGGCCTTTGCAGCCGGCAATGAGGGGCGCCCCAACCCCATGAGCTTGTTGGGTACTCTCTCGAGTGGAAAGCTCCAACCTTCTCATCCTTCCCATTCCCGCCCTTCCCAGTTTTCACCCTGCCTATTCTCACCCTCTTGTTTTCACCTGTCCAACTTGCAGGCCGGAGTGGTCACGGCCTTTGCAGCCGGCAACGAGCGGCGCCCCAACCCCATGAGCTTGTTGGGTACTCTCTGGAGTGGAAATGCCCTCGTTGCCGGTTGCAGCAATGACGTGAATATGGTTGTCGGGAGACAACAAGCTTCGCCTGCTGAAAGACCGAGCAACGACTCCTTAAAATAGCCATGTTTTGCCAAGGAAGAGTATTGTTCTTGACACACATGATGAGATCTCAATGTTGATGCCACGTGATCATTTCCTGAAAACTGCGTGCAGATCACTAAGAAAAATATATTTTTAAAAGCTGTAACGCTTTTCAAAATTATGTATTTTGAAAGCGAAGCTGCCTGTAATGTAGGATTTGGCAGCGTCGAGCCGCGCTAAACGCCCGTTTTGGAGTACAAAACGTGGGCTAGATGTCATTTCCCTCCACCCACGTCTCTCATTTTCAAACGGTTTAGCCGATTTTCCCGCCCCCCCTGCCCCCTCAGTAACATAGAGGCATATTATTGTAATGTTACTCCATGGATTTCAATTGTACTAAACCCATCTAAAATGAGACGATGCTAATTGCCACATGCAAGAAAGAAAGCTTTCTAAATTAGATCACAGTATGCATTACTGAGAAATGTTAGCACTAAAGTTAGAATAGTTGCGTTAGAATCAAAGTCTTGAAGCCTTGGTAAGTGTTGATCTTGATTAGAACCGGGAACACTGAGGCCATGTCGAGATTACTAGGCAAGAATGAATGCATTGAAAGGAATGTGAGTACAAGTACTAACACTAGAAAGTTGTACCCCATGTAAGCTACCCCACTACAGCCTACAAACAACAAAATCTATTATAGTTTAACACACCCCCATAGGCAAAGTGGGGGAGAACAAGTGGTCACAAGACCAGTCAAGAAAAGCAAAGCTAGCTTAGGGTGGATCACGACGTCACCACACATTCTGAGCACAAGCAAAAGGCCACATGGCCAGTTCACATGCATAGCTATATAAGAGAGAGCAAACAATACAGTGACCACAACTTCGAAAGTGTAAGCATGCAGATACATATAAAGATCACAGTACAAGCAAGGTCAAGCAGTGAGCAAGTGAGAGAACGTAGGCATGAGGCATAGAGCAGTGTAGTGCCGCTGATGATCACTAGGCGGAAGTGCCTTGGTGAATATATCAGCAGTGTTGGCCCGCGTGTCCACGTAAGCAAGACGAAGCTGGCCGCGCCGCTGTAGCTAACTCTCGAGCAAGGAAGTAACACAGAGCGATGTGCTTCGTTCTGTGCTCCAGTCTGTGCTCCTGACACAAGGCAAGGGCTGCCTTGTTGTCGCCGTACAGAACTAGAGGAGAACGAGGCCGCTCTCCCAAGTCAGTCAACAGGTAGGTGAGCCAGCGTAACTCTTGTGCAACCATGGCTGTGAAGTATATCTCAGCTGAGAACAGAAGAAGAGTGGTAGACCGCCAAGAGACAGAGTTGGAGCCAAGGCTGAAGGTGTAACCCTGAGACGACCGCTGCGTAGCCAGGTCGTCCACCCAAGAGTCGTCTGAGTGTCAGGTGAGGACAACGTCACCCCGTCCTCCAAGCACCAGCCCCATGCCTGATGTACTGCACAAGTAGCGCAACACCCTCTTAGCAGCCTCCCAGTGCTCTCGCCTGTGCCTCCCAGGCGCAACGTAGCGAGCTAGGATGCTAAGAGGGTATGCAAGGTCAGATCGAGTGCAGGTCATCAGGTACATGAGGCAGCCCACAAGCTCTGGGTACAGGCCACTCGGCTCTACGGACTTGTCCGAAGGTGGAGCTGAGAGCGAGTGACGTGTAGACAGAGGAGTGGACTGTGGTGAGGAGTACTGGAAGTCGAAGCGCTGAAGGATCTGTTGCACCATGTGTGACTGAGTCAGGGTAATGGTGCGGCGTGCTCTGTCCTGGGTGATCTGCAAGCCAAGGTAGCTGCGCAGCTCACCCAGGTCTGTGCACGTGTGTCTCTTCTACAGCTCCGACTTCACAAGGGAGAGTGCCTCACTGTCAGCAGTGGCAAAGACCAAGTCGTCGACGTACAAGAGGATGTAGAACGGCGGCAGAGAAGTGTCGGTGCGAAGAAACAGCGACGGGTCAGCAGTGGAAGGAGAAAACCCAAGAGCCGCAAGTGTCGTCCTCGGTGTGTCGTGCCACTCACGAGGCGCCTGGCGGAGACCATAGACTGGCCGCCGGAGGCTCCACTGGGTACCAGGAGAGAACGACCCAGTGAAGCCAAGTGGGCGGCGCAGTCAGATCTCCTCGTGCAGGCTGCCCTGCAAGAACGCTGTGCTGAAGTCAAGAGAGTGAAGCTCGTAGTCACGCTGAGTGGCAACGTGCAGTAGTATCCAAAGAGTGGTCATCTTCGGGGTAGGGGAGAAGGTCTGGAAGAAGTCAACTCCCTCCCGCTGACTGAAGCCTCGAGCAACGTAACGTGCCTTGAAGACAGGCGGAGAACCCGGCGGCCGCTTCACCCTGAAAATCCACATGCCATCGACTATGTTCGCCCCAGGAGGGGGAACCTCGTCGACGTAGGTGCATGTGGACTTCCAGGATGCCATCTCTGCGTCCATGGCTATCTGCCACTGAGAGGAGTAAGGACCCGAAATCGCCTCTGCGTAAGTGCGCGGGGTAGGGATGTCCAGTGCATCCGGGTCTCCCTCAGGTGCAAGCAGCCAGGCCACGAGATGAGGTACAGCAGCCGCAAGAGACTCAAAGTCCTCCTGCCTGTCCTCAAGGACGTCCGTGCCAAGAGCACACTCACCCCGGACGGACGGAGGACAGACAGACTCAGACTCAGACTCAGCAACAAGACTGGCGGCGTAGTCTAGACGACACGCAGCAGCAAAGTCGACAAGATCAGCAACTAAGGCTGACGCAGCAGTGGACTCAAACGTCGGGTCTGTGACGACTTTAGCCAGAAGACGCGCGACTGACGGCTAGCAGCACGAACACGGTCAGACTCAGGGTCAGGAAGCTCAGGAAGAGAGGACGCAGGAGGAGACGGCAGCGGGACGCGCTGTGGAGCAGAGGAGGGACGAAGTGCCATAGTGTGAGTGCCTGGCACAGGAGGAGGATGCGGACGTGTGACATGAGAAGCAGTGCGAGCACTGCGAACAGGGGAGGCAGGACAAGACGTAGGCTCACGACGCTTTGTAATGGAGACTGGCTGCTCAGTGTAACAAGGCGGGGCAGGCAGCGGTGAGTCAGGAGGAAGGGCAGTGGACGAAGGAAGACTAAGAACCTGGCGGAGGACCGACTCGGGCGAAAGCTCAGACAGTTGCGGCGGCGGCTCGAAGAACGGTCGCTGCTGCACAGGGCCTCCAGCTCTAGTACCTCCAGCGCCAGCACCGCCAGCTCCAGTAGTGCCAGCTCCAGCGCCTCCAGCTCCAGTGCCTCCAGCTCCAGTGTCTCCGGCACCAGTGCCTCAAGCTCCAGCTCCTCCAGCTCCAGTGTCTCAAGCTCTAGCGGCTCCAGCGCCAGCGCCTCTAGCTACAGCACCTCCACCTCCAGCGGCTCCAACTCTACGGTCTCCACCTCCAGCGCCTCCAGCGCCTGTGCCTCCAGCTCCAGTGCCACCAGCTCCAGTGCCTCCCGCTCCAGCACCTCCAGCTCCACTATCTCCAGCTACAGTGCCTCCAGATTCAGCGCCTCCAGCTCTAGTAGCGTTGCGCCGGAGGCGAGTGCGCTGAGCCAGCCACTCGCGCAGCTGTTGTGGTGGGAGGGGCTCCCGCTGGGGAGGCCGCTAAGGCGAGGCACTCGGAAGACTACCAGTAGACCCAACTCCACCAGGCTCAGAACCCCTAGGAGCAGCACCCCCAGGCTCAGCACCCCCAGGCTCAGTACCCCCAGGCTCAGCACCCCCAGGCTCAGCACCCCTAGGCTCAGCACCCCCAAAAGCAACACCCCTAAGCTCAGTACCCCCAAGCTCAGCACCCCCATGCTCAGCACCCCCAAGCTCAGAACCCCCAAGCTTAGCACCCCCAGACGCAGCACCCCCAGACTCAGCACCCCCAGGCTCAGCACCCCGAGCAGCACCACCCCCAGCAGCACCTGAGTCACCAGTGACCTCGACGTGCACAACTAAGGGAGGGGGGTCTACCTGAGACACACCTGAAGGAGCAGGATCCTAAGGGGGGAGGGGGTCTACCGGAGGGGGACCTGGAGCAAGGAAGAGCAGCAGGGGGGGGGAGAGAGGCAGTGCGGTAGAAGAAGAGACGGTAAAAGGGAACCGACTCGTCAAACGTGACGTCCTGAGAGGGGAAGACACGACGCGAGGTGGGGTGGTAAAACTGCCAACCAGGCGCATCAGGGGGAAAGCCAAGGAAGATGCAGGGAATGGCGCGAGAGGAGAGCTTGCCCGCGGTGGAATTGCAGACAAAGGCACAGGAACCCCAGACCCGGAACGCGGACGCATCGCCAACCTTCCCCGTCCAACGAAGTGTAGGCGAGGTCTCCGGCAAGGAGACACGAAGCCAGAGGTTGAGCTGATGCGCCACGTAACGGACCGCAAACGGCCACAGAAAATGGGGAGTAGCCGAATAGATTATGGAGGTACGAGCGACCTCCATGACTAAGCCAATGTGGCGCTCAGCAATCCCATTCTGCTGCAAGGAGGCTGGAAGGGTGAACGACTGGTGAATGCCCTCCTCCTCACAAAAGGACCTCAAGAGGTCGGAGGAGAACTCACTACCTCTGTCAGAGTGCAGACGCAGGACAGGAAGGTCCGTGTGGAACCGCTCGCGGAGCTGGAGACGGACAGCGCGGATCCAAGGGATCAAAACAGTAGGGACCTCACCCTTGCTGCGCAAGGGGAAGATTGTGGTGTAACGCGAGTAGTCGTCGACAACCATCAAAATTAGCGCTCGCGGCCCTGTCCCTGGACGCGGGCTGGGCCCCACACGTCCATGTGGAGGGTCTGCAGAGGAGCAATCGTCGGGGGAAACGAGGAGGAGTGAGGAGCGGCGCACTGCCGCCCCTCGACGCAAGGAATGCAGGGCGGGGCAGGCGAGGGAGGGAGGGCAGGTAGAGACCTGGGAAGACCAGAGACCAGAAGGCGTGAGTGCATGCCACAAAGGCGTGGCAGGGAGGGGTAACCAAGGCGGTGGTGCCAAAGGAGAGTCTGGTGCGACAAGCGGCGACACTCACAGGGGGCTGCTACCGGACCTGATGGGGACACCTGAGCGGACGCAGCGACCTGAGGCGGCGCAGTAGTCAGTGTGTACACACTCGACCCCAGCCGACGAGTAAACGTGACCAGGTGACGGCCAGTCCGAGAGCACGTACAGATCGCCACACGCTGCCATCCAGGTGTAAAGGTATCAACCCCTGCATCCTGGAGGACTGCGTTGCTCCCTAAGCTTATCGAGAACGAGGGGAGGTGGAGACCGGACAGGGAACCAGATAGAACGGCCGGGCACAGGATCATAGTAGAGGAGCGTGCAAGAACCGGGCCCCCAGAGGGGTCAGCCAGGAAAACTGCAACAGGCCTGGTCTGGGAGTGGTGTGACTATGGTACTGTCGCGAAAGAAGCACCGATCTGGAAGCACATGAGTCAAGCGTGAAGGTGTGCAAGGCCTCAGCAGGTGCAGTACCAGAGAGAGCAGACTCACTAGCACCTAGAGCAGCAGCCTCTATACCAGGGTCATACGGCGCACACAAGTAACAGTCACCCTCAACACTAGTAGACAGAGCATACATGCCAGCAATGATAGCATCAAAGTCTAGAGCAAAGATATCAACACCAGCATTAAGGAGCTCTGCCCAGCGGGGCATCTCACACTCATCACCCATCTCCTGACGCCAAGCGTCGTTTTGGTGAGAGAAACAGCGGTGCTGGTTTTGAAACTTCCCGCACGCATGACTAGCACGGGGAACTGTGCGAATAACATACGCGCAACAACGACTACCACCACCCGTAGACGTAGTACGCTGAGCAAGCCATTCATGAAGCTGCTGGGGCGAGAGGGCCTCACGCGGACGCTGCTGCTGCTGCCGCTGAACTGCGCTAGAGCGATCACCACCGCCGCCGCTGCCACCACTCCCGCCGCTGCCACTCCCGCCACCACTGCTCCCACTGCCACCACGACCACTGCCACCACCACCCCCGCCGCCGCCACTACCTCCGCCGCCTACGCCCCCACTCGCTCCACCACTCCCACCGCCACCTCCACCACCTCTGCCTCCCCAACCACCGCCACCACCACCACCGCCCCCACCGCCACCACCACCACCCTTGCCCCCCTTGCCCTTGCTGCTGCGGCGCTTCCCACTAGGAGCAGAAGCAGCACCGACCTCCTCAGCACCAAGAAAATCAACAACAGCGGCAGAGGCAACAGAGGGGGCGAGGGGGGAGGGGGAGCACCCCTCAAAGAAGGGCGTGCGAGGGGTGCCACGGGTAGCACTTGCAACGACTATGTGTCAAACACTGTACATGTGTTATTGCTGTGTAGGCTACAGTGGGTTAGCCTTTAGGGGGTACACAATTCTAGGGTTTCATGCTTGTACTCCATTCTCTCATAGTTCAATCACTTCTCTCATTCTGACATGGTATTACGAGCCTAGGTTAGGAACCTAGGACCGATTGTTCCTACGGGCCCACCGTTCCGTTAGTTGTGCCCTCGTGCACCTTCCCTTTCGTGCGCCCTCGTGCGCCTCGCTCCTAGGGCGCCCCCGAGCACCCCGCTGGTTGGCCGCGTCGCCCGCTAGCCGCCCGCGCGCGGCCCATTTCTTGCCCGCGCAGCCCGCTAGCCGCCCGCGCGCGGCCCGTTTCTCACGCGCGCGACCCAGCAGCCGCCCGCACCGCCGCAGCCGCCCACGAGCAGCCCGCTAGCCGCCCGTCGAACGGCCCTACCGGCCGTCCAGCGCGCCGCAGCCCTGCCCGTAGGCCGTCGCGTCGCTGTTGTAGGCCGCCGCCCGCGCGCGACTGCAGCCCACGCACAGCCGCCGCCTACGCCCAGGCCCGCCGTCGCGTCGCCCTGCCCGTCCGAGCCGCGCCGCGCAACCCAGACTGAGCCGCGCCGCCCTGACCGAGCCGCGCCGCCCTGACCGAGCCGCGCCGCCCTGCTGTGCCCCACCTGCAGCATCTACTATTCATGCCACTGCTACTACTGCTACTGCTCCTGCTGCTACTGTTCCTCCTCCTGCTACGGCCACTATGGCCAGTCCTACTGTACTCACCTTTGACGTTGAGGGTCGTCCGATTAAGTTCGATGTTTGGCTCGATGACCTTCACCTCTACCTTCAGATCACCGCCAAGGACGATATTTCCCTTTATGACCACACGTCCGGCGCCGCTCTCGCACCTGCTGCCGATGCTGATAGCACTTTGTGTTTACAGTGGCAGACCCGTGACGCTCATGCTCGCCTAGCCGTTCGCAGCCACCTGCCGTTAGATGAGCGCGAGCATTTTGGCCAGCATAAGGCCGCTAAAGCACTGTACGACGCCGTAGTCGCGCGCTACTCCTCCCCTGCCACTGCTACTATAGGCCGTCTCTCACTGCACTTCCTCTTTCCCGACCTGTCCGCCTTTGCCACTGTCGCTGACCTCATCACCCACCTCCGTACCAGTGACCTCCGCTACCGTGCCGCGCTCCCCCCCGATTTTTTTGCCAAGAACCCCCCCCCCCCCCCGATGTACCTCACACTGTACCACCTTGTCACCCGCCTCCCTGACTCCCTTCGCACTGTCAGGGACCAGTTTCTCGCTCTCTCCCCCACTGACCTCACTGTCGACCTCCTCGAGAAGGAACTCCTAGCAGCTGAGAAGAGCATTGTAGCTGTAGGTGGCTCTCGTGGTGACCCCCGCACCCTCGGAGCTGAGGGAATCGGGGCTGCGTCTACTCCCAGTGGGAGGCGCAAGAGCGGCAAGGGCAAGGGGGGCAGAGGTGGTGGAGGTGGAGGTGGGGGCGGCGGCGGTGGAGGGGGTGGGGGGGGCGGGAGTGGTGGCGGAAGTGGGAGTGGCGCGGGTGGTGGGGGAGTCAGTGGCGGCACAGGGGGTGGTGGCGGCGGCGGCGGTGGTGGGGGTGGTGGAGGAGGTGGTGGCAGTAGTGGCGGCGGCGGAGCGGGTGGCGGGCGCGGTGGAGCGGTGCAGCGTGGGGGGTTCGGAGGTGGCCAGAGGCAGCCGCAGCAGCGTCCTGGCGAGACTCCCTCGCCCCAGCAGCTCCGTGAGTGGTACTCTCAGCGTGGGGGTGCTGAGCCTGAGGGTGCTGAGCCTGCGGGTGCGGAGCCTGGGGGTGCTGAGACTGGGAGTGCTGAGCCTGGGGGTTACTGGGGCTGGGGGTGCTGAGCCTGGGGGTGCTGGGTCTGGGGGTGCTGAGCCTGGGTTTGCTGAGCCTGGGGGTGCTGCGCCTGGGGGTGCTGAGCCTGGGGGTGCTGAGCCTGGAGGTTCTGGAGCTGCTGGTGCTGTCACTGGAGCTGGAGGTTCTGGAGCTGCTACGGGTACTGGCGCTGCGGGTTCTGAGTCTGCTGTTGCGCGGTCTCCTTGGAGTAGCCGCCTTCGTACGCGTGTGCCTCTCACCTCCCAGCAGCTGCGCGACTGGTACGGTCGCCGTCAGCGTCGCGCTCCTGTGGCTCGGGACACTGCTCCTGGCGGTACTTCCACTGACGTCACTGGAGCTGCGGGTGGTGCTGGTTTGTTGTCTCCTGGGGGTGCCCACGTCGCTGGTCCCGGAGGTGCTCGTACCTCTGGCACTCGAGCTGCTGGGGCTGGTGGTGCTGTGTCTGAGGGTACTCCTGCTGGGGACATTGCGACTGGGGGTGCTGGTTCTGGAGGCGCTGCTGCTGGTGGAGACGGTCCTGGAGGAGTTGCTGCTGGGGGTTCTGGAGCTGCTGGAGGTACGGGAGCTGCTGTAGGTGCTGGAGCTGCTGGTGCTGGTGACACTACACAGACGCGCCTGTTCTTCGCTCCGCCGTCTCCGTCGTCTCTGCCACCGCCTAACTCTGTCCTTCACCAAATTCCTAGTCTTCCGTCTTCTACCGGTCTTCCCCTCCTGCCTGACTCACCGCTTCCTGCTCCTTCTCCTTACACTGAGCAGTCAGGAGGTCTTACTGAGCGTCGTGAGCCTGCGTCGCGTCCTGTCTCGCCAGTTCGCTCTGGTCGCACCGTTCGTCGTGTTCCGCGCTCGAGGTCGCCGTCTGTCCCCGGCACACGCCTTGTCGTCCGTCGTCCATCCTCTGTTTCTCAGTCTGTTCCTCTGCCGTCCCCTCCTGCGTCGTCTTTGCCTCACGTTCCGGACCCTGAGTCTGACCGGTTTCGTGCTGAGCACCCTACTGTCACGCGTCTGCTAGCCACTGTTGTCACTGACCCCTCGTTTGAGTCTTCTGCTGCGTCTGCCTTGGTCGTTGGGCTTGTAGACATTGCTGCTGCGTGTCGTCTAGACTACGCTGCTAGCCTTGTAGCTGAGTCTGAGTCTGTCTGTCCACCGTCCGTCGGGGGTGAGTGTGCTCTTGGCACGGACGTCCTTGAGGACAGGCACGAGGACCTTGAGTGTCTTGCAGCCGCTGCGCCTCATCTCGTGGCCATGCTGCTTGCCCCTGAGGGAGACCCGGATGCTATAGACATCCCTACCCCGCGATCTTACGCTGAGGCGATCACGGGTCCCTACTCCTCTCAGTGGCAGACAGCAATGGACGCAGAGATGGCATCCTGGAAGTCCACTGGCACTTACGTCGACGAGGTTCCCCCTCCTGGGGCGAACATCGTCAGTGGCATGTGGATTTTCAGGGTGAAGCGGCCGCCGGGTTCTCCGCCTGTCTTCAAGGCTCGTTACGTTGCCTGAGGCTTCAATCAGGAAGAGGGAGTCGACTTCTTCCATACCTTCTCCCCCACCCCGAAGATGACCACTCTTCGGTACTATTGCACGTTGCCGCTCAGCGTGACTACGAGCTTCACTCTCTTGACTTCAACACAGCTTTCTTGCAGGGCAGTCTGCACGAGGAGATCTGGCTGCGCCGCCCTCCTGGCTTCACTGGGTCGTTTCCTCCTGGTACCCAGTGGAGCCTCCGCCGGCCAGTCTACGGTCTCCGCCAGGCGCCACGTGAGTGGCATGACACACTGAGGACTACTCTTGCGGCACTTGGGTTCGCGCCTTCTACTGCTGACCCGTCGCTGTTTCTGCGCACCGACACTTCGCTGCCGCCGTTCTACATCCTCGTGTACGTCGACGACTTGGTCTTTGCCACTGCTGACACTGAGGCTCTCGCCCACGTGAAGTCCGAACTGCAGAAGAGACACACGTGCACAGACCTGGGTGAGCTACGCAGCTACCTTGGTTTGCAGATCACCCGGGACAGAGCACGCCGCACCATCACACTGACTCAGTCACACATGGTGCAGTAGGTCCTTCAGTGCTTCGGCTTCACCTGGTCCTCAGCACAGGCCACTCCTTCGGTCGCTCTCAGCTCTGCCTTCGGATGAGTCCGTAGAGCTGAGTGGTCCTTACCCAGAGCTAGTTGGTTGCCTCATGTACCTGATGACTTGCACTCGTCCTGACCTAGCGTACCCTCTTGGCCTTCTGGCCCGCTACGTGGCTCCTGGTAGGCACTGAAAGGTGCACTGGGATGCTGCAAAGAGGGTACTGCGCTACTTGTGCAGTACATCAGGCATGGGCCTCGTGCTTGGAGGAGGGAGCCCGGTTGTTCTCACTGGGCACTCAGACGCTTCTTGGGTTGACGACCAGTCTACACAGCGGTCGTCATAGGGTTACACCTTCAGTCTTGGCTCTGGCTCAGTTTCTTGGCGTTCTACTCGTTCGTCTTCAGTTCTCGGCTCCAGTTGTGAGGCTGAGATCTACGCCACAGCCATGGCTGCTCAGGAGTTACGCTGGCTCACCTACCTGCTGACCGACCTGGGAGAGTGGCCTCGTTCTCCTCCAGTGCTGTACGTTGACAACAAGGCTGCCATTGCCTTGTGTGAGGAGCACAGACTGGAGCACAGAACGAAGCACATCGCTCTGCGGTACTTTCTGGCTCGGGAGTCGCAGCAGCGTGGTCAGCTTCGTCTGCGTTACATGGCCACTCAGGCCAACACTGCTGATATATTCACCAAGGCACTTCCGCCTAGTGATCATCAGCGCTTCTGCACTTTGTTGGGGCTTGTGCCCACTTTTCCTCACTTGTTGTAGACTTTGCCTGTACTGTGATCTATATATATATATACCTGCATGCTTGCTAGATATTGATCATTGTGATGCTTGTACTACATATATGCCTCTGCATGTGAACTGGCCTTGTGGCTCTTTGCTTGTGCTCGGAATGTGTGGTGACGTTGTGATCCACCCTGAGCTTGCTTGCCTTTCTTGATTGGTCTTGTGACCCCTACTCTCATTCACTTTGCCTATGGGGGTGTGTCAAACACTGTACATGTGTTATTGCTGTGTAGGCTACAGTGGGTTAGCCTTTAGGGGGTACACAATTCTAGGGTTTCATACTTGTACTCCATTCTCTCATAGTTCAATCACTTCTCTCATTCTGACACTATGTTCGCTTCAGCTGCAAGAAGGCGCTTCTCTAGCAGGTTGATAGTGAGGTCTGTAGGGGGGGAGAGCGAGAAGGGTATCCCGGTCTGCACTAAGAGAGTCAGGGGGGCGTGTCACTATGAAGTGGAGAGCGATATAGATCGAGGGCTCGTTCTAGGGGAGGAACTCGGCAGGGAGGGCAGCACGGTAACGAGCGTCCATAGCTCGGAGGTGGGAGAGAAGATCGTCTACAGTGGCGAAGGAGGACAGGTCAGGGAAAAGGTAGGGCAGGAAGAGGTGGATAAGCGCTGCAGTGGCAGGAGAAGAGTAGCGGGCAACTACAGCGTCGTAGAGGGTCTTAGCAGTCTCGCCTGGTCAAAATGCTCGCATTCAGCTACCGGCAGGTGGTTGCGAATGGCTAGGCGAGCAGCAGCATCGCATGTAAGCCATTGTGAGCGAGTCGTCGTATCAGCTGAGGCTGGTGGGGCAGTGGAGGCACCAGTCGCTAGGTCAGAGAGCGAAACACCGTCCCCAGCGTCGCTTAGTAGGTACAGTTGCAGGTCCTGGAGCCAGGTGTCGAATTTGACTGGGCGGCCGTCACGATCAAAAGAGAACATACGCAGAATTGCCATAGTTTAGCAGTTGAGAGGCAGCACAAGGGCAGGGCACTGGCTGCAAGGGCGGCGTAAGGGGCCGGCCAGAGGCAGCGCGAGGGCTGCAGAAGCTGCGCGCGGGGCAGCAAGGGCGCGCGGGCTGCCGGGGCGTGCGCACGGGGCAGGGAAGCGGCGCGCGGGGCTGCCGGGGCTTAGCGCGGGGCAGGAAGAGCGGCGCGCGGGGCTGCTAGGGGCCGCGAGGGGCAGGTGGCGCAGTGCACGGGCTGTTGGGGTGGCGCGCGGGGCTGCTAGGGGCCGCGAGGGGCAGGCGGGGCAGCGTGCGGGCTGCTGGGGCGGCGCGCAGGGCTGATAAGGGGCCGCGATGGGCAGGCGGGGCAGCGCGCGAGCTGCTGGGGTGGCGCGCGGGGCTGCTAAGGGGCCGCGAGGGGCAGGTGGGGCAGCGCCCGGGGCTGCTAAGGGGCCACGAGGGGCAGGCGGGGCAGCGCGTGGGCTGCTGGGGCGGCGCGCGGGCCAGTGAGAGGCAACGCGCGGCCCAGCAAGGGGCAGCGCGCGGGCTGCAGGAAAAGCGACGCACAGGCTGTAGGGGTGGTGCGCGCAGGCGGTACAGGGCAGGGAAGGTCGTGGGGTAGCGCGGTAGTTGGTGGGCCCGAAAAAAAAGCCGGTCCTACGGACTTACCGCTCTGAAACCATGTCGAGATTGCTAGGCAAGAATGAATGAATTGAAAGGAATGTGGGTACAAGTACTAACCCTAGAAAGTTGTACCCCATGTAAGCTACCCCACTACAGCCTACAAACAACAAAGTCTATTATAGTTTAACAGGGCAACCCGAGTAGCTGAAGATACAATGTCCGCTGTGTGGACATTAAAAATATATCATCTGCTTCGTAATGTACTCAGATTTATGGAATTGTGCTCAATGTTACCAACTGATGTGAATGCTTCATGTAACGGGCTTCGAAAGTTACGCGGAGGAATCCATGGTGGCCTTGGTAGCTCCGTCATTGTCATTGTCATTGTCAAGGCACATATTTTATGATTCTGTACAGAATTGCAAATCTGTAAGTAGGATGAAATTAAGGTGTACATTTCTCAAGCTCCATTCTCCAGGCGAATGGTTTCGTAAAAGTGGAGAATCCATCGCCTCAGGTCTGTTATTTAGCGCGGTTTTGAACGTTTTTGTACCTTTCGTATGCAAAAAGCGGGTTAATGTACGCCACGTACGTTTCAGTACGGTGAATGGATCGATATCCCCCCGATCGAGCACTTTTACCTTGTCCTCGTCGTCACCAATCCACTCACATGGCGGGAACGCTGCACCGCACAGGAGTTTGCGCGGACACAACACAACACACGCGGTGCAATGCTTTTTCCTGGGAGTCAGAAGGTCTGGCTAGGTCTCCTTGTCCTTGTTCCTGCTTCAAGCACAGATACTAAATACTAGACTATTAGGCAGCTACAGTAACGCTGCCACGGATCGCAGCTACGTAACTTGGACGTCCTCCTGCGTCACGCGCCCAATTTCGTTGCGTTGTGAAGTTTCTTAATATCTCGCGTCGCTGTGGGTGACGTCTGCTCGCTGTTTAGGAGAGTTCGTTGTTGCGGTCAAGGGATCGAGGCGCTTTAGGGTTTGTTGCAGACGAAAGCCTTGGTGTCGTTGCCTTCCGTCGTCGTTTG